AAACATACACTCCATTCCAAGAACTGAAATCAAAACGACTGTAGGTGATATCAGACTCTGGGAAGGCCAGAACTGGCAATGAAGGGACAGAAGCAGACACGTGTAAACCAACATTTCTCATTGTTGGGGCTAAAGTACAGTGCAGAATTTTACCTGACTGTTATAGCTGAGAAGGAAGGTAAATTGCACCTTTAGATCTTTCACCAACTTGGAGAAACTGGTAACTTCAAGAAGTAGTGAAGGCATTAAAGCTATGGATATATAAGGCAGAGGGGAAATGCCCCTATCTGAGATCATACCTTGCCAGGCTTATGGGAAAGAGAGACTAAGGGCATGGAGTCCAGTGGACAAGGCCTGGAGACAAATTTATGCAGCACAGAGCAGCTAGCCGTGGGTGAACATGGAAGTCCTGTGTGCCCCTCCCTTCACACTCTTCTGCCATAAGACAGTGCGGTAAGGTTATCTTTAGATTACACACCAGACGGCAGTGAGGGTTAACACTCGAGGGGGAAATTGGGGAGGCAAGACTCTGGTGAAGTTCAGATACTAGGGGCGTGAACATTTTCAGAAGAAAAATGCTATGTGATATTTAAAGAGTTGCATCCTCGGGAATTCTTATGAAAACCCCTTTCCATATCCTCCTTCCTCCTGTCCCATCTTCTTCCCTGACTTATGTTACTTGTGTCCTTCTCTTTGAGACAATAAGCTCTGAGGCTAGGGATGCTGGCTTTTACTGGTGTCTTCATTGTGCCTGACATATAATCGTCTCTCTGTTCATGCTAAACAAACATAAACCCTGAGGCTTGACTTTGGCTCTGAAATAATAAATCGGGGAGGCTATAAAAACGATTAAGAAAGAAAAGAAGGCACCAAGGTGATAGAATGCAGCTTGTTGACAGAATGCCTGGGGTTGTGCAGCGCTGCTACTTATGTTGTTCCCCTTTGGCAGGTATTTATTATTTCACTGATAGGAGACATCAAGTTCCAGCATTTTAATCCTGTACTTGAAACCTACATATACAAGCACTTCAGTGCCCCTTTGGCATATGTGTAAGTATGATTCAAGGGAACTATGTATTGTTGGATTGTTGGATTTGTACTCTGAGGGCTGGGCTGTTGAGAAATGAGGACATAAACCGAGTAAATGTGCCTCTATGTGCAGAACTTTGTTCTACGCTTACTGGTGGCAAGAGGGAACCATCTAAGTATTCTAACCCTGAAAATTGTGTCAAGTTATGGCCCTTGCTTGTGGGAGGTTACAGCGAGATAAGGCCGTAGCTCTTATCAAACTAGCTTCTCATTCAACAGTTAGTACACATTTTGTTTTATGACATTGGTTAAAAACCCCATGACATGTTAACACTCTTCCTTCTCCACCTTGGGTTCCCTATTACCCAGCTTTCCTGCCCTTCCTGCCTTCTAGTTCTTGACTCTGGGTTGGTGTGCCCCATTAGTTTGGTTTTGTTTTATGGGCTTGTCTAATCTTTGGCTCAAGGGTGAACCTCGAGAGTGACTTCATTACTGAGCTAAAAGTGTGTCTGGGGGCCATACTCTCGGGGTTTCTCCAGTCTCTGTCAAGGGTCATAGCCCTTTAAAGGTCTGGAGCATACAGGTGAGGAGTCAAGCCGTCAGGAGCAACAGTGCAGAATCAAGGACAGGTGACCTACTCACGATCTTAGGAATCAGGTGTCAGTGGGATTGGCATGAGGTCCCAAGGTGATCAAACAGTGAACTAAGCAAGGCCAAGTCTGATAGAACAGCAGGCTGTGCTGTCAACTCCATGCCACAAGTGCTTTGTAGAATCTCTTACCTATAGGTTACAAGAAAATTTATTTTTCTTTTTTTACGCATAAGAAAGTATGGCCTCTACTTTTTACATAGTGCGACCTTCTTTC